CAGAAGGTTATCGTGTACATTTTAGTAGTGGAAACCGGCCGCGTGTTGATGTGGTTTGCTCTGTAATCTGTGTCGGTCGCTTGTCATTGTGTCAGGGACAAATGTCATAACATATGACATATTTCAGTCGCCTATCTGTTAAGTATTTGGTTATCCTAGTTTATCGACATGTTTGTCTGTAAACTTTCTGACATAATCGTGTCGTGTCAGGAATCTAGTTTTTGTCCTCTGAGATAAGAATATTTCTGATCATGTAAATATGTAACATGCATGGATTTTGTTTTTGTCAAGATTCTAGATTTATTGTACTAGGTCAAACATGATATTATGGATATTCCAAATTGCCGAAATATATTTAAAATAATGCCCTGTAAAGAGCGTACCAAACATTGACTAGTTCCCCTGACCATTTTTAAAACCTCCAGTCTCTTCTCAAAATCTATAATGTCGGTAAAATTGGGTGACATTGCTCAGGAATCAAACTCCAATGTTTAAATAATTAGTATCTGTATTTTAATTGGATTGGTCGTCTTTACCCCTGAGTAATCAGATACAACTCCAGGGCTCGTTTTATATATATGGTTTATTTGTAAAACCTGCAAAGTATGAAATATATCAAATAACTATCCATCACAATACATAAAAACAATCGCACAAAAAGATAAAAAAAAAAAACAACACCATCTGTCTGGATGTAATCAAATCTCTTTGGCAAAAATTAACATTTTTCTGGCTGTAATCAACTGTAATCAACATCTCGCTTGCTGTAATCAACATCTCTCTGGCTGTATAATCAACATCTCTCTGGCTGTATAATCAATATCTCTCTGGCTGTATAATCAACATCTCTCTGACTGTAGTCCACATCTCGCTTGCTGTAATCAACATCTCTCTGACTGTAGTCCACATCTCGCTTGCTGTAATCAACATCTCTCTGGCCGTAATTAACATATCTCTTACCGTTATCAACATCTCTTTGACTGTAATAAACATCTCTCTTACTGTATGCTCAACATCTCTCTGGTCGTAATCAACATCTTTCTGGCTGTAATCAACATATCTCTAGCTGTAATCAACATATCTCTAGCTGTAATCAACATAACTATGGCTGTAATTAACATTTCTCTGGCTCTTATCAGTTGCATCCAGCTACACATTAATTACACAAGTCAAGTAATCTTTAGTTACACTATACATACAGACAACACAAGACATAAGACTTTTTCAGCAGACTAACACACTACAACTGTGATATGTATTCGACAGACTGTAAAGTTTATGTATGTTGAAAAGCTATTACAACATACTTGCATTACGATTAAAACAGCCACCTACTCAATATTAAGAGGGGTTTCCCAGAAAACTTTCCACCGAGTACTATAAATAAAACAACATATTGTGGATTTCCAACTACTCTTTATATTATTTATGCAATGACCATGCCAACAAGGATAGAAATTACAGTAAGGCTAAATATAAATGCTTTGATTAATTCTACTGACATTTTGTATAACAAGTACTTGTATTTTCACCACCTAGGCCTATCGAACAGTGAGCTTACACTGATAAGCCAACAGTTTGTGTCCCCCTCCCCAGAGTTACCTACCTGACATCATCTTCAGTGAGCTTACACTGATGTTGTCTGCTTCCATTGGTAGCAAAAATAAGTATACAACTTTCATCGTGGAATGGTGTTTATTACTTTTTACTGAATTTAAATACATTGTAAACTGAACAAAAATAAAAGCGATTTTTTTTTATAAAAAATAACAATGGGTAAGTTTTTGTTGTGTATTGACTTTCCGTACAAAACTGGCAGCTGGAGAAACTACGGCAGCGGTAATGCACGACAATTTCGCTAAATACAGAAAATTATGTCAGCGAATCATGGATTTTAAAACTAATTACCTAAAATATGTAAGACCAAATGGTCGACGTTTATTGTAAGTAGGTATACCATTATTTTTCGGCAACTGTCTATAGGCCGTGAAAGCCAAGTGAACACATCATTTCTAACAATATTCAAAGTTTGACATGCAGAAACCATACAAGTAAATGTTAACCATTGAACAGAGGAATGCCAAATCTTCTAGGCACAATACTACAATCAATTCACTTTTCAACTAGAATAAAAAAAAACTAAAAAAAACCCCGACAATTTTCAATCATTGAAAAAGGAAGATATTTACGTCGCATCAAAACTTTTTAAAGTGGTGAAAAAATTAAAAAGATACGATTACTCAATCTGTAATTCACCGAATATGACATGTGCGGCAAAATTCTGACCCTCCCGACCTCTCACGAAAAAATATCCTTATTAGAATTTAGAACTACCAATTCACACAAAAGATAAACTGTCCGAAGACATATAGGTCTATAGTTTTCAACATTTTTCTTCTAGTCTTATTTTTTTTTATTGCAAATAAATATTAACAAAATAATTGGAAACAAGTTTTCATAACTTATCACAGTCCTTTTCTTCAATTACATGAATATTAACAATTACTCGATAAGGCAATTCACGCAATATATATATATTTTTATATGAAAATAGAAAAGTGGGAGGAAGAAAACACGGAGCCAGACACGAAGTTAAGAATAGTAAAACAGGTAGAGTCAGAGAAAAAAGAGAGATAGAGAGAGAAAGATGATCACATTCAGCCGAAGAAAAAAGAGAGATAGAGATAGAAAGATGATCACATTCAGCCAAACCTGTTGAATTTGCTTGTTAAACATAATTTTGAACATATTTTGCAATTATAATATTTTCATCTTTGCTGAATTTGGATCACCATATATAGGAGTAAATCTAAACTTAAATCTTCACGAAAAAGGTTGTAACTCTCTTATTAATAGATTACGATGCTGGTGTATCGGGGACAGACACAGACAGATCGAGGAAGTGATTGCTCTCTAAAAGGTCACGTGATGCACCAGTGTTTCGCACAATAATTTTATTACATACTGTTTTTAAAATTCATTACAAAAATCCAATAGTTCTTTTGACTCAACAGCGATGTATTTAACATTAGAAAGCTCTGGAACCAGCATTACAAAATATTTTCTTTATCAAAATTATTGCGGGAATGATTCTTTCACTTGCTCCCGTCCGACCGGAAGTTCTTGAGAGCAGAAATTAAAATACTTGGACGTAATGTGCTTTTAAAGTCAAATATATGTTTGAAATTAATTATTTAATGCCTATTTATGATTTCAGGCACATATATAATAACAAACAAACCATTTTATTTGCGTATTTTATCAACTCAAAATTGTTTCAAAATATTTCCACTTCCGTGATGCTTTAATGCATCACTCGTCCCAGACCCGGTGATGCATTAATGAATCATTCGTCCCAGACCCGGTGATGCATTAATGCATCATTCGGCCTAGGGCTGGTGATGCATTAATGCATCATCAGGGCTTAAAGGGTTATTTTAATTTATAGAGCTGGCACGGTTTCTCAAATGGCAATAACGTTTTCTTTTATTCATATGTTTGTTTTAATGAATTGCGAGTAGTCTATTCCTTATATAGATAATTTATATCTAGGTCATTCCACATTTTTCGTAGTTGATGGGGGAAAAAGAATTGCGCAGTTTCAAGCCGAAAGTTGGCTCGTTGTCTTAGATGTTGGGAAATTCTCAGGTTATAAAGCCTAATTGCACTAAGTTCGGGAAAAATCGATCAATCAACTCCAACAACCTAGCCCTAGGTGGAGTATAAAATGGTCTGGGGTGGATGTTGCGGTATCTGTGCTGTAGCATTCAAGTGAAGTGGCACTATAAAAGATGCCGTTGGAAGCACGGTCCCACTACAAACAGACCGCAAATAACAAATATCCAGCACACACGCATGCATACACACATAGGGAGATATTAGCCAGGTGGCATATGACTAGTATAGTCAGTGCCTGATAAGGCAGCTCCTACGAATTCCTCAAAATTGTATTGATTAATGTATATATGCTAATATTGTATTAATTATATATCTATGTACTGTAAAGCTAGATAGGGTGCTATATCAAATGCTGTATATTTATGTATTTTTTAAAATTTATTTATCAATATTAAAAAGAGATATTAATATTCATCAAGAATCGTGAATATTAATTGTATAGGCCTATGGATTTTCAAAAAAGATCGAGTTAATTCAAGCTGTAATTTGCTCTCTGCTTGACTTAAATATAGTTCAGCTAAATATTACAAAAGTCTTTTATGATCAAGAGTCTCATGTTTTTTCCCAAAAAAGAGCGAGTTCATGCTGCAATTTACTCTCTGCTTGACTTAGATATAGTTCAGCTAATTATTACAATACATAAGACTCTTGATCATAAAAGAGTTCCAGGGATACAAGCATTTTTGAATATTCATGACCTAGACCACGGACTTAGATCGTGCCTAGACTAAAGTTGATGAATATATTCAATACTGATCACGGCTGACCATGACCTTTAACGTGTTGGGGTGAGGCCATCGTCGAGATATCACGAGGCCGGGTAGATATCAACATGTTATAGCTTCAGTTTGTGATACGTGTCATTATCTGAGCGAGTCGCGACAGATATAAATATTGTGACTCGCTGGTGACACATGATTTTACCGGGACCGGTGCGTCGGATTCGAGTCGGGTAAAACAAAACATGTCTTCTTGTCAGTGATTTCATTAGTCCAGAGTCAGCTTTAGTTACAACGCCGTAAAAGGCAGGTAGGCATTGTAGATAGTTCTGTACTGTAACGAAATCAGTCCGCTTGTGTTATTGTTTAAATGAAAGGACATAAAAACTCATCGTGTGCGTTGTAGAATGACGCATGAATACGGAGGTTGATCATAGGAGCCTGAAGTTTTGTCAATAATGAATAATAATAGTAATACCAAAAAAATACCCCTAATATGCTTAAAAAAAATATAAGCATATTAGGGGTATTTTTTTACTATTATTATTCATTATTAACAGAACTTCAGGCTCCTATGGGTTGATCGAGTGGTGAACTTTGACCTCAGGTCGGGTGACAACAATTAGGCTAAGTATTGTTACGTGTTTGCCGAGAGGGGGGTTGCTGGGGCGTAACCGCTTGCTAACGCATACCTTAGGCCTATATATAACACGTGCATCTATATATAGCTACATAATCGTTACACAGAGCAGCTGTGGTATCACTCGTGATAACACCTTCCTACACGAGTGTTCGAGACTTTACCCTGGCTCCACGAAGGATCTACGGTTTGTTGTAGTTGGACCACTCGAGCTTCACTTTATAAATCTTGGTATTATTTATTGTAAAACATCTTTCACCCATCAGCTGTGAGCTTTTTCTATAATTTATAGCTTCCTTGTAGAGACATCTCTGCTTGTACATTTGTTTATACTAATATGGTTCCATATATTCTGTTTGTGTATCAGTACAACGTTGCAGCCAATATTTTCATGGGAAGTACGTTATCATGGATGGGATTTTCTATTGTGAGTTGGATTTTCTGTGTACATTTGCTGAAATTTCATTGATAGGGGCCACAGTAGATCCAAGATCTAACAGTATGATCTTGATACGTTTCGCATTCAGTCAATATATACATCAGGAAATAGATTCAATCACAACAGGCGAAGGAGCAAGTAGTTGCGGTGGGCTTCTTCTGGACTAATCAATCAGGTCCAGTACACTCTGCCGATTGAGCTATATAGCTGTAAAGACCTATAATAGCTCTATTGACCTATGTGAAATAGGTCTTTTGAGCTATTTGAAAGTGATTTTCTTTTTTAAGGAAAACGAAACAAAGTCGCTTTTAAAATGCGATTGTATCATTAAGTTGATAACAAAAGACATTAAATATGGGTATTCTTTTTAAAAAATAATGATGTAAAAAAATCGGAAATTTTACATTTATGAAAAATGAAAATAAATATCTAAATGTATGCTTTTTGTAGTCAACATTACCATAAACCTTATTGTTTTATGCGACTTTGCTTTAATTTAATGAAATTTGAAATCTGAGAAAATATAGCTCAATACAGCTATAATTTATAGGTGTATATAGCTATATAGGTCTTTATAGCTATATAGCTCAATCGGCAGAGTGTACTGGACCTGACAATATATATAAATACAGTCAGGATAAATATATAGCCTATATGCGTCTCCCATAATAAATGAAGTGTCCCCTCGACTAATTGTCCTGACTTTTCGGCACTACATTCCAAGTAATCCAAAATAATAGTTTTAAACTCTTTATAACATCTTTAGATTGTTACAGAGGAGACTAAATGCCCACAGTATGGCAGACACTTCTCTCGATTGGGATAATAGTTAGACTGGCAGGCTTAAACGGATCAAGGTGATCAGCCCTTCATGTTTACTTTTTCTGGAACATGTACTCCGTTTTTTGCAACATTCTGTTTTGTTAACTTTCCTCATTAATACTAATTATCAAACAATAATGCCTTGTAGATAATAAATTCAAGAGTGTGAAATTAATGTGTTATGTTTTGTTTCATTACAGATAAACAGCATTGATAGAAAGTCAAGTTGGCCCACTCACCGTTAACATGGCCGCTGTGGGGAAGACCTGTACAGGCTTGCTTCGTGGCAGTCGTCTTCACAGACTCCTCACCACACCAAATGCTGCTCGGAATGTGTCTCCATACCCTCACAAACTACAGAATGTATTAGGTGTGTATAGTGTCAGAACTGTTGCTATAATATACCCTACTGTTCAAGGTTTGTAAGTATGATACTTACCCTGTTGTGTGTGTACATTTCAGTTCCAAAATAAATGGAGATAAAAGTTCCGTATGAAATAAAGAAACTCTTGGTATTCTTCACATTGATGAATCGTCCTTTAGTTTATTTAAGAAACAATCGATGTATGTGTGTGTATTATGATGGATATAAAAAAAGGGTGATGGAGAAAATGTGGAAAAATATTTAACAAAGGCCACTTGTGTCCTGAGTTGATTATTTTTCCAGCATTTTCGAATCCCAAGTTATATATTCCACCATAATATACAAACGTATGTTGATTCTGCCAATTAAAATGTAACAAAAGTCTTTTTTCGTATGCACCTCAGTGTCAACAGGCCTATGATAAGCATGGTGACCTGGATGATCTTATTGATTAAATAAAGCTGTATTTTTATGTGTGCTTACATTTGTCACCTGATGCCTATATGTGTTAATTTCACAATAATAAGCTACACATTTTGTTATTTCTGACCGTTTTGGCAGTTGTCCTATTTTGTCTATCTTTTAAACCTGGATATGTTTAGGAAGGATTTCAGCAGTCGTCTGTTGGTCAATTGACAATAACTTGATGCTTTATGCCAGATGTTCATTTCAATCAGCCAAATTGACAATTCTATCAGCATTGCTCGTCAACACTTGAAATAGATTTACAAACACTATTTCAAGTCACCTTTGTGGTTAGTTCAGTGGAAGGTTCTCACCATGACCTTGGCAGGATTTAAGTAGATCTAGATTTTTGGGAGGTTTTTAGAAGAGCATTAATCTGTCAACAAACACAAAGAAATCTGAAAATTTCCAGATATTTGTTAGAAACGGTATTTAGAAATTTTGTGTTAATAAATCGTGAAGTTAATAAATACAACCAATATGAACAACTGGGCCATGAAAGCAGTGAATTGTCAAAATAATGACAAAACAGAAACTCTAATTGTGAATTGGTAATCATGTATCATTGAAAATTATACAGGTATACTTTACATCTTACTTACTGCTTTCATAGGAAAAAAATGTGTTTTGGTAGACTTACAAAACTTCAGCATGTTCAATAAGATGTCTTGTAATATAGAACTCTTAACTAAATAAGAAAATAGTGAACTTCTGCTCTAGACATTCTGTGTGTCCTCCTAGGAGGCGCACACTTCCCCTGTCTGTCATACTGTATCTATCTTACAGGCGTTCGTGGCACTCGTGCCACCTACAGCTCCGTATCGGATCGTAATGCCACCCAGTCCGAAGTCAGGACCATCAACAGTGTCAAACCAACCAAGGCCTCTGATGCCAGCAAGAAGGCATCACTAGTCATTTTTGACAAAGATGGCACCTTGATTTGCTTCCAAGCAATGTGGTCCCCTTGGGCCAGGAAAATAGGATCTAAGTAAATACGCAATAAACTCGAACACTGATCACTTTCATTTCAGCATTGGCAAGGTTGCTGTGGTTTGATTGAATCCTTGTATTTATTGTGCATGTTTGAAAAATATAATTTAAAAAAAAAATAACTTTGTAAGAAGGTGACATAAGTGTGTTGTCATTTTTAGCTCGCCTGTTCGAAGAACAGAGAGCTATAGCGATACCCACGGCGTGAGTGTGAAAATGTTAAAGTTTTACCTGCAAGTTATTTAGAAGCTTGTCATTCATTAAATATGTGTACTAGGATGCTGATATTTTGCATAGAGCTTCATGTGGGGTAAAATATTGATGAAGTGAATTTAAAATTAAAAAGATAATTTAAAATTTCAGCAAGACATCACTATAAAGTCACCATAAGTCTACCTACCTGTCACAAGCAGACACCGTCTCAATAGACTTCTAAATGAGTTAAAAGGACGCTAAACCCCAATAAACAAAACAAAAATTAAAGACGATAAATTTTTAAACAGGCGAGCGAGCATTGTGTGGCTTTGACGCCATCTCTGGTGTAGTTTATAATATAACTTAGCACAGTGAATTATGATGGTTTAACATGATATAACAGTGATGGATTTTGTTATTGAGAAACATTGTTTGTGTTAAAGATGTGCCTTTAACTAATATTTGATGTTTTAATTGATACTAGAGTGACTACTAAACTTCTTGGTAAACAAGGTTTTCTACTCACAAAAGGTCGACGGCTTAATTATAGCTGTAACTATTCAAAGTGGATCGTTCATTGATAAGAAAAGAAGAAACAAATTTTGACAAGTATAGCAAATTGCAGGTTTTAATTGTTATTGTATTGTAATGATCTTAAAACTTTATATCAGTTCCGTTGTATATATCGCAGAGATCTTCAGACATTGTGCTTGTACATAAAAAATCTGTACATAATGTATACACTGGTCGTAATGTAATTTTTATAATGTAAAGTTCTGTATAATACACTTTATTGATAAATTCTGAGGTTTTTGCTTCAAGGAAATATTAACTTTACCAATTTATTGTTTCAGATTGGAGGAGGCCACCGGACTAGACATCCAGGAGAAGGTGTTTAAGACGATAGGGTTCTGTGACTCCTCTGATCGAGTTGTCCCTGGCTTGCTAGCGGAAGCTACCACCGAGATGTGCCAGGATGCTGTAGTTGAGCTCCTAAAACAGGAGGGTGTGGAGGAAGTCAAAGGCCGGGCCATTGTACACAACATCTGGGAGGATGGACACGGTGTTTACAAAACGAAAACTCTAGCTGACCTCAGCACCTTGTTTAAGATATTAAAAAACAACAATATTAAGATTGCAGTTTGTACCTCTGACCAAAGAAAAGGAACTGAGCACCTGCTAGAAGAATTGGGGGTTGTCGACCTCGTTGATCACATCGTTTGTGGAGACGACCCTAACAGTGTTCCAAAACCTGCCGCAGATAATGCCCATTTGATTTGCAACAAGCTTGGTGTGAAACCTGAAGACACAGTTATGGTCGGAGACACCAAGGCTGATGTAGGTATGGGAAAGGCTGCCAAGTTGGGATGGAACATCGGAGTACTCAGTGGTGTAGGTCAGACAAATGACTTGTACCCGGCAGCCAGCCATGTGATTGAGAGTGTTCAGGATTTACTGCCCCTTATCCTACCAGAGGACCAGTGGAGGGAATGTTACGCCTACTCCAACGATCAGAGGATACTAATAGAACCCTACTCTCTCGAGTCTTCCTCTTCAGATGAGTTTGCTAGTGTTGAGAATCATGTGTCAAAGGTTGCACTGGTCATCCTAGATCTCCACGGAACCATCCTCTGTACCCACAGCAAGTACTCAGGCTGGCTGGACCAGATCTGCTCAAGGTCAGTATAACATAACGGGGATGGGAATTCTTGTCTTCCTTCTCAAAACAGATTTTCAAGTCGCCATTACAAGCAGACAAAATTGTTGTCCTCCCAGTAGTCCCGTTCTGGTATAGTTTTGTCCCCCTTCACCCCAGTAGTCCCGTACTGGTATAGTTTTGTCCCCCTTCACCCCAGTAGTCCCGTTCTGGTATAGTTTTGTCCCCCTTCATCCCAGTAATCCGGTACTGGTATAGTTTTGTCCCCCTTCACCCCAGTAGTCCCGTACTGGTATAGTTTTGCCCTCATTCTGTATTCAGTCCCAAAGAACCAAGTGTTTACCTGTTGTGTGTAATAAAAACAGGGAAAAAGTGCAACAATATCAAATCATTTTTGATAAATAAGAACTGTGAAGAATGTCAGATAACTTTCTCTTTAAATATAAATAAAGAGTAAACATGTCATAAACCACGGTTGCATTTTGGTTTTGATTGACACATACTGAGATAAACATCAATAATTTTCCCTAGTTGATATTAGGGCCTTTTCCCAATTCATCGAGAGAAAAACCTCTGGTATACCTGTCGTGTATCAAAGAAATGTTAACTGATTTTGTCAATATTTTCACAGGTTAGAACAAGCCACTGGCCTGCATGATCTGACGACAGAAATTCACCAGAGACTGGGTATATGTGAAAGGACAGGCAAAATAATGGATGGTTTATTGAATGAACACGGCACTACAAATATGGAGGTGAGGTCGTCACTGGTGGAGATGATCCATAAACACCTTACCTACGAGGAAACCCTGATGGTTGTAAACAAAGTCTGGCAGGAGTGCGAGTCCTTACTTCTTGAAGAGCCAAAATCACTTCACAAGGATGTCAAAAACTTCTTCAAAACACTGAAGAGAAAAGGAATCAAAATAGCCATATGTACTGGTGATCAACGAGAGCTTGCTCTGTCGGATTTGAAAAATCTGGGCGTGTTAAAGTATATTGATATGATGGTCTGTGGAGATGATCCACACTCCATCTGTAAGTCTCCTGACCAAAGCACAAGGCTTATTTGTGACGAGCTCAATGTCATCCCAGAGAAAACTGTCATCGTTGGGGATTCTACCAAAGATTTTCAATTTGAAAAATCAGCCAAGGTTCATAAGATTGGTGTATTATCTGGTGTTGGGTCTGCAGATGACCTGAAGTGGGTCACAGACCTAGTGGTGCCCTCCGTAGATCATGTAATCGACCATATAATGGAAGAGCCTCCAGCCAGTCCCGGTAAACAGATGGTACCTCCCGACGTGATTCCTGTGATTAGGAAGCCAGGAGGAATCGGTGCCCAGTGTAGGCTGTTTGGCACCAGGACACAGCTGAGACAACCTTTCACTTTCACAGTAAAAGGTGCACAGGTGAGAAATTTCGCCACAGTATCGGAGGACAGAGCCACCTGCGACTACGTTATTGTTGGTGCAGGGTCAGCCGGCTGTACCTTAACTAATCGATTGTCTGCCGATCCAAACAACAAGGTGTGTGTTCTAGAGGCTGGCCCAAAGGACTACAGCTGGAAGATCCACATGCCTGCTGCCCTCATGTATAACCTTTGTGATGACAAATACAACTGGTACTACCACACCGAACCAGAGCCACACATGAATAACCGAGTCATGTATTGGCCACGAGGCCGTGTCTGGGGAGGATCGTCCTCACTCAATGCCATGGTCTACATCCGTGGCAATGCTGGTGATTACGATGGATGGGAGAAGGCAGGAGCAAAAGGTTGGTCATATGCTGATTGTTTACCCTACTTTCAAAAAGCTCAGACCCATAATCTTGGAGGAAATGAGTACAGAGGAGGCGAGGGTCCTCTTCATGTGTCACGAGGAAAGGCCGACAACCCACTGCATCATGCCTTTATAGAAGCAGGTCAGCAGGCCGGCTTCCTCTTCACAGATGACATGAACGGCTACCAGCAGGAGGGAGTAGGTCTGATGGATATGACCATTCACAAGGGTCGGCGCTGGAGTGCTGCAGTGGCTTATCTCAGGCCAGCACTAAAGCGTGACAACGTGAAAGTGGAGTCAAATGCACTGTCCACAAGGATTTTGTTTGAGAACAAGCGAGCGGTTGGTGTAGAGTATGAACAGAAGGGAGTAAAAAAGGTTATAAGAGCGGAGAAGGAGGTGATTTTGAGTGGAGGGTCCATAAACTCCCCTCAACTCCTCATGCTGTCGGGCATAGGTAATGCAGATGAACTGAAAGCACTGAATATCCCAGTGGTTCAACACCTGCCTGGTGTTGGGGAGAACCTCCAGGACCACCTCGAGGTGTATGTACAGGAGGCCTGCAAACTTCCCATCACTCTCTACTCGGCTCAGTGGAAGTTCCCTCACAATATGATACGTATAGGGCTGCAGTGGTTCCTCACTCAGAAAGGTGATGGGGCTACCACTCACTTAGAAAGTGGTGGGTTCGTCTCGAGTGAAGAAGGCCTAGAGTATCCGGACATTCAGTTCCATTTCCTGCCGTCTACTGTCTACGATCATGGACGCGTTAACGGCAATGAACATGCCTACCAACTCCATGTGGGACCAATGCGTGCTACAAGTAGAGGCTATATCAAACTGAAAACCAGCAATCCCAGAGACCATCCAAAGATCGTAGCCAACTACCTGTCGACAGAATATGATAGAAGGACAATGAGGGACAGTATCAAAGTTGCAAGGAAAGTGTTCAGACAGAAGGCTTTTGATCCTTTCCGTGCAGGACGGGAGATAAGTCCTGGACCTGAGTATCAAACAGATGCTGAACTTGATGCCTTCAGCCGTGCCCACGGAGACAGCTCATATCATCCATCGTGTACATGTAAAATAGGAGCAGAGACTGACCCGATGGCTGTGGTGGACTCGCAAACCAGTGTTTTTGGGGTGGATAACCTGCGCGTTGTTGATGCCTCTATCATGCCTAATGTTATTACCGGAAACCTTAACGGACCTACCATAATGTTGGCCGAGAAAGCTGCCGACATCATCCTGGGAAAAACGCCACTGCCTCGGTCCACAGCTCCTGTGTACAAGAACAAAGTATAGTCTGTGGAAGGATGTTTCCTGTATAGACAAGATTCCAAAGTTCAAATCAGCATAATCCATTGAAGGGTTTTATATAGATACAGCAATTTCTGTAATTTTGTACGAGTACATTAATGATATCTACATTCTTATGTGGTTGTTAGTAAACAACTTACTTCAGCTTTGCAGCAGTTGAAGAACAAAATGTGAAAATGAAATTTGCTTTAAATTTTTATCGAAATTCCAGGACTTATTAATTTGAAATGTGCAAGTGAAGTGACAGTGTTGCATTTTTTGTTGTGAGTCCTGTGTAGAAAATCCCTGTAGTGTTTTTTGGGTGTTCAGTTTTTAATGGATCTAGGCATATTGTAGCTAATTTTTCTTTTTTACTTTTATACCAATGTCCTTTAATGCTGTTTTCAAACATCTGATAAAAGATTTTTGTTTTGCAATGGTTGTCCCATAAAATCCATTTTATTGGCTGTAAGTTATTTTGTTGATCAGGACACATTGGTAACTATTGAAACAAAGTTAATAGGATGATGATCAAATTGTTTTTTTCTTATGTTTCAAAATAAGTTGTTAAAACTTTTTTGAGGTGTCAATGTTTCCAGATGATGTTAGTGCTAATTAAAATTTTACAATCCAATATATTAAGTACTGTAAGTACAGCCTACGCTGAACGGAGACCTATACACTGCTAGCAGTATTTCATATGTACCATAGACAAGTATGTGCTAAAACGACTAAAATAGGGTCATTTCAATACCCTATCCAATATCAGCCCACAGTAGGATATATGGAAATGACCATATGATAACCTTTGATTATGTATAAGTATAATATACCGGGTATCTTTTTAGGTGTTCATGAATGATCGATATTAAGACAAAAAGAGTTCATATATGGTTGATATTCAAAAGAATTAGATATTTAATGGATACAGGGTATCGTAACATAATAATCTGTATAAATCACACGGGTAAATTATCAAATAGTGAACAAAGTTTATAACAAAGATATAGGGATCCATGTGATGTGTTCATAACCACCAATCAGCTTTACAGTATACCATATATAGACGTCCTTGGACAATCAGCATTAAACATTGTATACATATATATACTTAATTCTGTCAGTATTGTGAACAAAGTTTATAACAAAGATATAGGGATCCATGTGATGTGTTCATAACCACCAATCAGCTTTACAGTATACCATATATAGACGTCCTTGGACAATCAGCATTAAACATTGTATACATATATATACTTAATTCTGTCAGTATTGTGAACAAAGTTTATAACAAAGATATAGGGATCCATGTGATGTGTTCATAACCACCAATCAGCTTTACAGTATACCATATATAGACGTCCTTGGACAATCAGCATTAAACATTGTATACATATATATACTTAATTCTGTCAGTATTGCCTATAACCAGAACAAAGACAAATATCAATTTTACTTTTTTCCCCCATTTTTGTTTGATAAATCATTTATCAAAGTTAGCATTTTGGTGCTTCTTGTCTTGTGTTAGATTGCAATTATACTTTTGTTGTTGTTGTTGAAGTTAAAAAATTTGAATTATATAATTGAAATATTAAAGTACAGATGGTGCAAGTACTGAAGTCCCAGTGTTTATGAATCTTGTTTTATGGTTGATACAGAATTTAATTCCCCAAGTTTCATGGAATTGATTTATTTTATTTAGGTTGATAAAAAGAAGTTGACAGAATGTTCCTGAGTTGAGGTGACTGGTTTTACAGTCTTGCTACAGGACGATATGGCCAGGTCATATGTAAAGGGAGACAACCAAGTCTGTGTAAACTTCTTGGTCAGCTGGTCACAACAGATGTATCAACAGTGTGCAAGAAAATGATACTTGTGTCAATTCATTGAATAGTTGTTGATAATATTTTGGAGTAATTACAACCTTGACCATCAAAACACATTCCATTATTACCAAGAAATGATTCAGACCATGTATATTATTATACAACTAAAACATAACATTCACAGGATGATGATGTGAGAGAAAACTAATAAACTACATTGTTGGAAAACCAATCTCGTGATTTTATTTGTACATATTGGTGCTATTTATATGCAGTTGATATAAATGGTATCCTTCAGCTTGTCCAGGCTATAGTTTCACCAATACATGTGCTTATGAAACAGACGCCCACTGAGCATTTGATCCTCGGGATACAAATACACTGTACATAAGTCATTTGCAATACCCAGCCCATCTTCTCCATCCCACATCTGTGAAGTTTCACACTTCAGAGGTTAGAGCATTTGACACCTAGCATTGACCTTGGCTATAGGGTACAAACCTACAGTAAAACCTCAATACAATAATATAGCCACTTTGTTTTTCTACTCTCGTACCTAAAGATATGATACAAGGTCCCCTTTCCTTTGCTGCTGTACAATTCGTTTATGTCTCCCTCAATATGATAAGAAACTGTATCTAGTGACAAAATTTTGGTGGGAAAATACTCAAAATATGGCAATAATGAGGGTTTATGGTGCCATGATCCATCTACATGTACCATTTCATAGTGATCAGCACTTAAGGTAATAGGATTGTGTCGCCATTTCTCAGTAGAATTTCTTCTAATTTTGTAGTTATATTGCTTTGAAGTAAAGAAAATTTTCTGCCACAAAAAAATAAAGGTTGTCAGGATTTTAAATGGAAATTTATGTAAAAAGGAGTGAATTTTGTAAAAAAAAAATGAAACACAATTTTTTGCAATATAATGTCAATAAACATGATACTGACATAGATTAGTATTGCATTAATATATATCAATTTCATAAATACTGAAATTGTGTAACATGAATTATCTATAAATGATTAAAAATTGACATTTTATAATAAAACCATATACACATAGTAATTGCATGAAAGAGTTACCGTTCTTGAAAAACTTCACAGTAGTGAAATAGGTAGCCGGTTTCCTGAAGTACAGAAAAATGGACACATGTGACTCATTGATTAAAAAACAACTGAATTAATGCCTAGATTGCTTTGAAATACTTTATATTGAAAGAACATACTGTTCAGTCAATAATAAGCATACAATATTCATCAGTTTAATATTAAACATTAGAATATGTGGAGATTGTGATACTCTGTCTCCCTATATTGGGTTTTCAACTAGGCATGTACTTCCTATTTCCTTTTAGCAATACACTCCTATGACCTTAACAAACCCTACAGAGGTCTTGCATTTAGTTCCTGGCACTGATCTTCACCTTTGGTTACACAATACCTTGGTAATATCAACGTCTGTAAATTTTCAGTAAAAATAAACCTTTCAGTAATAAAGCTACATGAAGGTCATTCAAAAGATTTTACGTAAATTTACCAAGAAAGCTTTTGTGATTCTTGAGCAAAAAAAAGGAGTTTAGATTTTTTGGCGCTGATCAGGATGCTTGTGAATTTATAAGAAGCACTAAACTGGAATAGTATCAAACGTGGGGAAACTGAGCGATCTCAAAGTTATATAATAACCCCCCTCCCCCCACCCAATCTCGATATTCAAATATGTTTGCAGGTGGCATAATAATCAAATTACAAATCCCTTCCTTTATTCACGTCTACATACGATGTACTCTCACTGTGCTAAGTAACAAAACAAATCTAACAAACTGTCAGGAAGAGTTGCAATTACAAGGTTTCTGAAACAGAAATTTAAACTTTCAAGATTCATAACCCTAGGAAAAATCGTCGAATTTCAAATTCCTCTCTTCATGCCTATCTATATGTAATGTGCTTTCACTGTCGTGTTACAAAAACATCTAACAAACAGTTGAGGATGATTTGTGCTTATAAGGTTTGAGAACCGGAATTTTTTAAGTTTAAAGGGCCATAACTCCAGGAAAAAATCACAAATTATTTCCTTCATGCACATCTGCATTCGATGAAAATACAAAAAATCCAACAAGTGGCTCAGGAGTTGCGCTTCAAAGATTTGTGGACAGACAGACGGAGTGATTCCTATATACCCCAACTTTGTTTGCGAGAGGTACAATAAATGAAAGAATAAAATAAAGATATATAATACATTTTATTTACAGGCATCCTCTGTATATAATTGACTGTTACAGCTTGATCAGTTCTAAAACTACTATACTGTACATATATGATACAACAAAATGTACATTATTTACATATATAAATAGGGTGATGTTTATATAGAGAGAGAAAGATAGAGTAGACAAACAGGGAAAGTATTGCACACGATTTTACATATAAACAAAACACACAACTGAAAATTACAATATTTCAATTTTATTATTCGTAACATAAAATAATGGAAATTACTTCGAGTTGAAAGAATTCAAAATGAAGTAATACCGTGTAGGGGACACTCACAAAAACTTTTTAAAAAACAGTGTCGCCTAGACAGTAGAAAAAGCTTCTTCGGCTGTCCCGTAATAGACATGGAATAGTTACCGAACTCCGCAACATGTCATTGATGCAGCTGATGTTAAACAGATTGTGGGACGATCATTGGAAACGAGAAAATACAACAGCAAATAGTGGCTATGAATTGTGACATTTTAAAACACTTGGACATTGCACACCAGAAGTTTACATAATTTATAACTTAAACAATGTTTTGATATGGATATAAAGGCTATAAGCCTGCGTCCATTATGTATCATATTAAATCATTAAAAAAATTGTATTAAGTAAAATTGATTTTGCTCAGCCCGTTTCCTAGAATCATATTGCTTTACTATTATTTAAAACTGAACTAATACAACTATCTTAAAGGTAAGTTAAACCAGTATCAACAAATTATTACAGGTTAAAAAATAAAGGAAGACATTTATTGTTCATAATGATAACATCTAAACAAAGAGACCTGAATTGCCTACAGAATGCATACATAAAATATTAATCTAAAATTCAAATCATAAAATCCATAAACTGGGAATGGATGTTTTTTATCATGTGGTTGTTCGATGGTAACATTTGAAGCAGCCCCGCCTATATAGCTCACCTGTTTCTTTTTAACTTGAAACCATGGTAACCAATGGATGAGTTAATAATATAACAATATACTGTGAAAACATTAATAGTCCAGGGATTATATCTCAGACAAACCACGTTATTTTCACCTGTCCCCATTATCTACCAGCCTTGGAGCTGTTTTTTCTTTGCCTGCTGTTGCATAAAAAATATTGTTTTAAAATATTTTAATCTGTTTTCGAGCTAAAAATAAAATGCTTGACATGGAACAAAATGAGATAAAACTGCAATAAAAATTAATTTCAAATTTAACAAAAATGGAAATTAATACATTCATTGATTTACTTTCAATCTTGTTTAAAATTGTTGCCACCAGTTTTAAGACCTACATAATTGTATCTCAAATATTCACTACCACACGTCAAACTCTGGCACTATACAGGAAGGTCTGACCCGAGACTAACATACGGGACATCACTGATAGTGTGACCTTTGGTAAATAATGTCACATGTCACACTCTGGCACTATACAGGAAGGTCTGACCCAAGCTGTGTAACATACAGGACATCACTGATAGTGTGACCTTTGATAAATAATGTCACACATCACACTCTGGCACTATACAGGAAGGTCTGACCCGAGACTGTGTAACATATGGGACATCACTGATAGAGTGACCTTTGGTAAATAATGTCACATGTCACACTCTGGCACTATGCAGGAAGGTCTGACCCGAGACTGTGTAACATACAGGACATCACTGATAGTGTGACCTCTGGTAAATAATGCCACATGTCACACTCTGGCACTATACAGGAAGGTCCGACCCGAGACTGTGTAACATACAGGACATCACTGATAGTGTGACCTTCAGTAAATAATGCCACATGTCACCCTCTGGCACTATACAGGAAGGTCTGACCCGAGACTGTGTAACAGACAGGACATCACTGATAGTGTGACCTTTGGTAAATAATGTCACACGTCACACTCTGGCAATATACAGGAAGGTCTGACCCGAGACTGTGTAACATACGGGACATCACTGATAGTGTGACCTTCAGTAAATAATGCCACATGTCACACTCTGGCACTATACAGGAAGGTCTGACCCGAGACTGTGTAACATACGGGACATCACTGATAGTGTGACCTTTGGTAAATAATGTCACACGTCACACTCTGGCACTATACAGGAAGGTCTGACCCAAGACTGTGTAACATACAGGACATCACTGATAGTGTGACCTTTGATAAATAATGTCACACGTCACACTCTGGCACTATACAGGAAGGTCTGACCCGAGACTAACATACAGGACATCACTGATAGTGTGACCTTTGGTAAATAATGTCACATGTCACACTTAGGAAGTTGAAGAATGTCTACATCACACCAAGGATGTCACTGAAGGTGTATATAATGGCGAAGCTTTTACCGAAGATCCATGTCGCAGCCAGGATATCAACAAATTTCTACATTACACCAAGACATTTTATCGAATGTCAGCATCACACCAGGGATTCTTCCAGTCGTAGGCATCACACCAAGAACTTTATCCGAGGTGAACATCTCACCAAGAATTGTATCGAAAGTCTACATCACACCAAGGACTTTATCCGAGGTGAACATCTCACCAAGAATTTATCGAAAGTCTACATCACACCAAGGATGTTACTGAAGGTATGACCCATGGCCAATTCTGTCAGATGTCGCAGTAACACATGGATCTTGTCGGACAGAAATATCTGCAACAAGACAAAACACATGTTGTATTACTTGAGATTTAGGTTTGAGGTGTGAGGGTTTATGTCCCATCCATACCATTCAAATACAGCACAGAAGTCCATAGTCAGTTTTAAAAGTAATTAATTTTATCAGTTTCAAAAGGGTTAATTGTAGCATTTTCAGAGCCATTTAATATTTCATTTTTAAAACCGGAAATTAACCTATTATTTATATCTGGTATCTGGGCTGCTACAAAGCATTTCTATGAAGGAGACACAAAATATAAGGTAATGTTTTTTCTACCAGTTTCAAATGGTTTCTTGATACTAGTGACCGATAGATCATTGTATGTATATTACAATTAAGTCAAATTTCTGATATCAAGAAATATACTGTGTATAATAAACATGGCTCAGACACACAGTGTGTGACACTAACTGACGTTTGATTGTAACGTGATGTTGCATACTATCCAGCCACTTTACCATGTAAGTGACTGATCTTGTTCATTTACATCATTTCACACACATGTACAGCTCAACGCTTAGAGGCCATTTAATATTATGTAAGTGACTGAAATTGTTCATTTACATCATTTCACACACATGTACAGCTCAACGCTTTATAGAGGCCATTTAATATTATGCAAGTGACTGATCTTGTTCATTTACATCATTTCACACACATGTACAGCTCAACGCTTCGAGGCCAATTAATGGCAAACAGATATTGTGATAAGAAAAGTTCCTTTAAACAAAACTAAAATGCATACCTTTAAACGGCCGTCTGTGCCCACCATACACAATGGGGTTCCCACTCGAACCAGTGACATCGCCTATAACATAATGAGGCAAATGAACTATGAACTGCATATAGGTCATAGTTTACTATGGTATCAACTTATTTAGAATTCTTTTCAAACCTCTTAAACCAGAGTTCCTTTTTAATCTGAAATCTGCTGACAAAGTATTTCAAGGTTAGAAAATTTTGATAATGAAACATACAAGTCGTCCAGTAACACACGTTTCCTGTACAACCTAATAACACTTAGATGTACTGGTAACACACGTTTCCTGTATGACCTAATAACACTTAGATGTACTGGTAACACACGTTTCCTGTACGTCCTAATAACACTTAGATGTACTGGTAACACACGTTTCATGTACGACCTAATAACAAGTAGATGTACTGGTAACACACGTTTCATGTACGACCTAATAACACTTAGATGTACTGGTAACACACGTTACCTGTACAACCTAATAACAATAGATGTACTGGTAACACACGTTTCCTGTACGACCTAATAACAATTAGATGTACTGGTAACACACGTTGCCTGTACGACCTAATAACACTTAGATGTACAGGTAACACACGTTTCCTGTACGACCTAATAACACTTAGATGTACTGGTAACACACGTTTCCTGTACGACCTCATAAGACTTAGATGTACTAGTAACACATGTTTCCTGTACGACCTAATAACACTTAGATGTACTGGTAACACACGTTTCCTGTACGACCTAATACACTTAGATGTACTGGTAACACACGTTTCCTGTACGACCTAATAACACTAAGATGTACTGGTAACACACGTTTCCTGTATGTCCTAATAACAATTAGATGTACTGGTAACACACGTTTCCTGTACAACCTAATAACACTAAGATTTACTGGTAACACACGTTTCCTGTACGACCTAATAACACTTAGATGTACTGGTAACACACGTTTCCTGTACGACCTAATAACACTTAGATGTACTGGTAACACACGTTTCCTGTACGACCCAATAACACTAAGATGTACTGGTAACACACGTTTCCTGTATGTCCTAATAACAATTAGATGTACTGGTAACACACGTTTCCTGTACCACCTAATAACACTTAGATGTACTGGTAACACGCGTTTCCTGTACGACCTAATAACACTTAGATGACCTGGTAACACACGTTTCCTGTACGACCTAATAATACTTAGATGTACTGGTAACACACGTTTCCTGTTTCCTGTACGACCTAATAACAATTAGATGTACTGGTAACACGCGTTTCCTGTACGACCTAATAACACTTAGATGACCTGGTAACACACGTTTCCTGTACGACCTAATATCCTAATAACACTTAGATGTACTGGTAACACACGATTCCTGTACGACCTAATAACAATTAGATGTACTGGTAACACGCGTTTCCTGTACGACCTAATAACACTTAGATGCACTGGTAACACACGTTTCCTGTACGACCTAAACACGTTTCATGTACGACCTAATAACACTTAGATGTACTGGTCACACACGTTTCCTGTACGACCCAATAACACTAAGATGTACTGGTAACACACCTGTACGACCTAATAACACTTAGATGTACTGGTAACACGCGTTTCCTGTACGACCTAATAACACTTAGATGCACTGGTAACACACGTTTCCTGTACGACCTAATATCCTAATAACACTTAGATGTACTGGTAACACACTTTTCCTGTACGACCCAATAACACTAAGATGTACTGGTAACACACCTGTACGACCTAATAACACTTAGATGTACTGGAAACACACGTTTCCTGTACGACCCAATAACACGTAGATGTACTGGTAACACGCGTTTCCTGTACGACCTAATAACACTTAGATGGACTGGTAACACACGTTTCCTGTACGACCTAACAACACTTAGATGTACTCGTAACACACGTTTCCTGTACGACCTAATAACACTGAGATGTACTGGTAACACACGTTTCCTGTACGACCTGTACGACCTAATAACACTTAGATGTACTAGTAACACACGTTTCCTGTACGACCTAATAACAATTAGATGTACTGGTAACACACGTTTCCTGTACGACCCAATAACACGTAGATGTACTGGTAACACGAGTTTCCTGTACGACCTAATAACAATTAGATGTACTGGTAACACACGTTTGCTGTACGACCCAATAACACGTAGATGTACTGGTAACACACGTTTCCTGTACGACCTAATAACACTTAGATGTACAGCAATACGTGGGACATTCTTGGAATAAGTTCATGCTATAATGCTACCATGTATGTGAAAGGAAACAAGTGACTACTTACTGAAATTTTAACCTTGAAAACCCTGAAGAAATGCGCTTCCAAACTACGAATGAACTTCTGAACTTCTTCGCTGCTGAAGTCAACCTCATCTTTATCATGGATTCTGAAAGCAAGACAAATATAAACTTTTTTGAGACAATTAAAAATCGTTTTTGTAAAAAATATATCATTTATTCATGACTTGAGATATACATGCATGAAAAAATTATACATATTGCCGAGATTGACCAGGCATAGCATATACCCCCTCCCCCCTCTGAAAAAGTGTCATCTGGACAAGTGCAATCAAACAGAATCCTTATTTTAGCGACTGACATTGAAGTCTGGTGGACCAGGCCCCTAAATCAAATACTTATAGACTTACAATCACCTTGGTGAACCCATACACCAATGGAGCTTTGTGTTGTCATTTTTCATGAAGTTATCATCCAGACAAGTGCAACTAAGGAAAATTCTATTTTATTTTTTGAAATGGTGACCTTGACTTCTGGCAGACCATGCCTAAAATCAATAGGGTTTGTACTCCCTGTCACTTGTGTAACTCACACTTCAGGATTGAGCTTTGTACGATAATTTATTCTGAAGTTATCTGGACACATTCAACTAAGCAGAATTCTACTTTAGCAACAGTGACCTTGACCTCTGGTAGACAACACCCAAAATAAATATGCTTCTTTGCATTTACTCGGGCAACCAACACATCAAATATAACCTTTGTATGTTATCATCCAGACAAATGCATCCAAGTAGAATTCTATTTTTTGTAACTACGAACATGACATCTGGTGAACCACGCCTAAAATCACTACAGTTCTACTAGTACTAATGCAACATGCATGTCAAATTTGAACTTTGTTTGGTCAGATATTCTCAAGTTATCATCTGGACAAATGAGAAGGACAGACATCCCACATAGCTGCTATACCCCCCTCTCCCCCAAAAAACAACAACAACAGGAGGCCCATGGGCCTTAATGGTCACCTGAGTCCTACAGTATTAAATTTTGTTGTTGAAATATGAAGTGGAGATAATGATGTCAATCATCCCTACCATAATTTGAGTAAAAATAAGTTAAGTATAACTTAAAGTTAAGTTTGTCAGGACAATGAGTTGATCATTCCTAGACCAAGTTTCAGTTAATACGGCCTAAAAGAACTTGATTTTAAGTTTTAAATAGTGTTTTTTCCAAAATGGCAGCCATGGCGGCCGTATTGGATTTTTGATGGACCTATAAAAACCAGTTTGCCAGGACCATGAGTCGATCATTCCTACCAAGTTTCAGTTAAATCAGCCCAGTAGAACTTGACTTTAAGTTTGAAATAGTTTTTCAAAATGGCGGCCTTGGTGGCCATATTGGATTTCTGATCAACCCTAAAAATAACAACACTTGGTCAGGGAGTTGTCAGTAACATTTCCATGAAATCAATGAAATCCCTTTGACAGTATTTCAGCTTAAGTAGAAAATGTAAAATGTTAATGGACACGGATGAAGACAACACTTGGTCAGGGAGTTGTCAGTAACATTTCCATGAAATCAATGAAATCCCTTTGACAGTATTTCAGCTTAAGTATGTAAAATGTAAAATGTTAACGGACGACGGATGAAGACGGATAGCAATAGGTCACTTGAGCTAAAGCTCAAGTGACCTAAAAAGTAAATTGGATCTTAGTAAAACAGTTTTATTCTTTCCACCATTTGTAATGAAATGTCAGTGTTCTCACCTCTGACATCAATTTTGTGAAAAGCAGAAACAAATCAACACATTTTTTTTAACATGAACAAATACCATCTTGATAACTCTGAGCTAAAAACCAGACAGTCATTGGGTATTAACGCGATAAGCTTGACAAGTGATAAGCACAATTTTCATTGTTTGTGTATCTTTAAAAGGCACCAATAAAGTAAAAGAAAACACAACTTTCTTAAAGCAAATATTTTAGTGGAGTAAATAGACCTGCAAAGTTATGATTATTTACCTCGCATACTAACCAAATTAACTGTTGTTAAACAGTGATTAAGCTAATCACCTTTTGAACAACCGGGCCCAGAGAGTTATTTAACTTTGAACTGCAATCTGATTACCATTCTACCCTAAATGTTGACATGTGAATTGTTACCAGCACAAATATACATTAGTACACAAATCACATGTTAGTATAAGCCTCACCTTTCCCACAGATCCTGACAATCTTCTGGGTCTATGCTGTAGTTTATAGATGTCAGACCCTCACACTCCTTGGGTACGGAATACAGTAGTTCTACTGGCTTAGTCTTCCCATCTGTGTGTACAGAAACACTTCAACTTTGGTATCATATTGATTTACTACAACTAACATTTACTGTATATAATAGGTCCATACTTGATTTTGTCACTCAATAAAGAATGTTTGAACTCATAGTAAGATCAGCTATCTGACAGAAAAGAATCTGAATAAGGTTGTTCATGATTAAAGCTGCGAAGCGATTATCATATTAAAGAAGAGTAGTAACTCCTGCAGCCTGGTTTCCTTAAAGTAATTTTTCCGTTTTTTTTTTTTGTCTTCACAGATACATCATGTATAATATCATATGAGTATACATATATCATGTAAACATATCCTCTCACAGGAGTCACATCTTTGATTTTTTTTCCATGCTTGGGACGAGTTCTGGAGTTCAGTATCTGAGAAGTTTTTTTTTTAAAGTACTTTTTCCTGATGTCTAGTTGGTTTAAACAATATTTATTACTTAAATTCATTTACAATACAATACAAAACTGTCTAGTTACCTTATGTCTAGTTGCTGACAAGTTTTGAGCTATGCAAACTTCCTACATTCTAGTAAGCCCAAACATTGGCAATGAATTTACTATCTGTAGAAATACAATACATACTTTCATTTTTCATCCCACTCCACATGGACACCACCCATGCCAGGTCATACGAGGACAGGGTGAGAGGGGTGACCTTACAGTCGTACTGCATCTGTGTATCAATGGTACAGCATTAAGTCACAGAAATAATATCTTAGACTTTATCAAGATCTGATGCATACAACCAAAACCAGGATACAGACACAATAAATAACTATAACATCAGATTGTCAAAGACGAAAATATGTAACATCAGATTGTCAAATACAAATAACTATAACATCAGAATGTGAAATAAATACAAAATCCAAATATCTTATAGTAATATCCATTACATATTAACTTGTACAATTATTTATTACATCAAGTGGAAACTTGTATTACTTATGTAGACATGTACTAGAATAGCATGTGACTAAGGTAACTTTTTCTTTGTCAAAGGTTAGTTTACCTCAGTATGTTTTTATGAATTGCTATTTGACAAATACATGTATCTCAGTCACATCCCAGTGTAAACAAATCTAAGATACCTCCAGCCAGCTGATGACAGTGTTAGACAGGGAGACAGATGCCTTCACCAACATGACAGGATAATAGGTGAAGTTTTCTCGCATGGTGGCCTTGATGTGGTTTTCCTGCATGTCCACCCCACACAAAACAGCTGTCAGTTGTATAGTGTCCTCCCCTACGTCAGAAAAAGATCATTACACTCCACACAACACAGTCGTCACACACAACAGTCATCACACACAACACAGTCATCACACACAACACAGTCATCGCCCACAACACAGTCATCACACACAACACACTCATCACCCACAACACAGTCATCACACACAACAGACATCACACACAAAACAGACATCACACACAAAACAGACATCACACACAAAACAGACATCACACACAAAACAGACATCACACACAAAACAGTCATCACACACAACACATTCATCACACACAACACAGTCATCACCCACAACAGTCATCACACACAAAACAGCTGTCAGTTGTATAGTGTCCTCCCCTACGTCAGAAAAAGATCATTACACTCCACACAACACAGTCTTAACCCACAACACAGTCATCACACACAACCCAGTTGTCACCCACAGCACAGTCATCACCCACAACACAGTCATCACACACAACACAGTTGTCACCCACAGCACAGTCATCACCCACAACACAGTCGTCACCCACAACACAGTCATCACACACAACACAGTTGTCAACCACAACACAGTCATCACACACAACACAGTCATCACCCACAACACAGTCATCACACACAACACAATCATCACCCACAACAAAGTCATCACACACAACAGTCATCACACACGTCATTACACACAACAGTCATCACACACAATACAGTCATCACCCACAACACAGTCATCACACACAACACAGTCATCACACACAACACATTCATCACACACAACACAGTCATCACCCACAGCACAGTCATCACACACATCACATTCATCACACATAACACAGTCGTCGCACAACACAGTCATCACACACAACACAGTCATCACCCACAACACACTCATCACACACAACAGTCATCACACACAAAACACCTGCCGGTTGTATAGTGTCCTCCCCTACGTTACAAAAAGATCATTACACTCCACACAACACAGTCGTACCCCACAACACAGTCATCACACACCACACAGTCATCACACACAACAGACATCACACACAACACAGACATCACACACAACACAGTCATCACACACAACACAGTCGTCACACACAACACAGTTGTAACCCACAACACAGTCATCACCCACAACACAGTAATCACACACAACACAGTCGTCACCCACAACACAGTCATCACACACAACACAGTCATCACACACAAAACAGTAATCACACACAACACAGTCATCACCCACAACACAGGCATCACCCACAACACAGGCATCACCCACAACACAGTTGTCACCCACAACACAGTCATCATCCACAACACAGTCATCACACACAACACAGTCATCACCCACAACACAGTCGTCACCCACAACACAGTCGTCACACACAACACAGTCGTAACCCACAACACAATCATCACCCACAACACAGTCATCCATCACAACACAGGCATCACAAACAACACAGTCATCACACACAACACAGTTGTCACCCACAACACAGTCATCACACACAACACAGTTGTCACACACAACACAGTTGTCACACACAACAGTCTTCACACACAACATTCGTCAATCATTACACTATTCACTGAATTTAATTATAGCTGCAAATGCATTCAGTTTTACCGGAGGGTTTATAAATCTTAACCAGTATAGGCACATTCAGTTTTACTGGAGGGTTTATAGATCTTAACCAGTATAGACACATTCATTTTTACTGTAATGTTTATAAATCTTAACCAGTATAGACACATTCAGTTCTACTGGAGGGTTTATAAATCTTAACCAGTATAGTCACATTCAGTTTTACTGGAGGGTTTATAGATCTTAACCAGTATAGACACATTCAGTTCTACTGGAGGGTTTATAAATCTTAACCAGTATAGACACATTAAGTTAATAGTCATATACCAATGGTTATCAAGTGGTTTAACACTCACATCAGTTAATATAATACAAGTACTAATTCTACAACTCTCCAAATTCTGAAAAAAAGTTAGCAAAGTAAAACACCAACTGTATATTCTTGCATAGAATAAACAAAAAAAAAGCAGGGGTGGAATATGAACTCAACTTTAAGAAACGTAAGTTTTATTCATTTGACAAAATCTCTTGTTGCTATACTTATATATAATTATGACCATTAACATATCTTGTTATCCATATGCCAATAATTTGATTTTCTGCAGAAAACTATATAAAAACTCACCATTTGTATAGTGTCCTCCCCTACGTCAGAAAACTATATAAAAACTCACCATTTGCAGTTTTCCCTTTAACTATAATCTGGATTGCTTCTGGGTCAACTGTGTGAGAAATTGAAACAACTGACATATTACTAGGGAACTTACTGATCAAATGATAAAGTCATTACATCAAATTGTCAATGCTATTAATTTATCTAAGATGAAAAGTATTTTGTGTTACTGAAGAGCTTTAAAACTGTAAGTGTTCTTTTTACTATTCTTAACATTTAATGATTCATAAATGAAAAATGCATTTATAAGACTACCGGTAAACAGAACAATGGATAGTTATCTGTCTTCATCGTAATTGGACTAAACATGACGAAGTATAGACTTGACAGCTTACCATCAGTCACTTTGAGGTCTTTGTATATACTTATGTATGCCTTTCCCATCAATGTGTTGTCCATAAAAATCCCTTTTCTTTTTTCCTGAAAAAAGGGAACCAGGCATTTTTTTCATTAAGTATAAAGATTACTTTACTTATTTATTGGTATGAACTGTTTTGATCCAATTCTTTTATTTATGTGTATGGTGATATATGATAAACAATTCTAATTCTATTTCATTTATATGATAAAACAAGTCTTGAATTTAATATTATTTCATGGATCTTATGAAACATGTACCAACGGTATATCACTTATTATGACTTGCTTAAATGAAAATATTATAAAAACTTGTTTCAAGAACCACATATAAAATGGAAACTTATGCATAACATGAGACAAGGATCAGAAAATAACTTTCCATACAGACGTTTGATTTCTTTGTTAAACAATAGGCCCAGAGGGCCTGTATCGCTCACCTGAATATTTAAGCAGTAATAGCAAAATATTCTCATTCAATATTATATTGCACTACAAATATTTCCCTCGCAAATTTTGTCGGCTCCATCTGTTGAAACTACCAGCCAAATATTATTATAAGATTCTATGCTTTTTGGTTCTTCTTCAGAAGTTAATCGACATATTTTTCCCTGTGACCTTGTAAGTAGGTCAATGTCATTTTCCTTCTCATACTTTGTTAGCTCTATCCCAAAAAGCTACCAGCAAAATCTTATGAATCCATTCCATTTGGTTCTTAAGGACAAATCCTTTAAAATGCTGTTGATCTCTGCTGTCCTTTAAGGTAGGTTGAGGTCATTTTCATTCGAAAACTTTGGTGAGCTCTATCCTAGGAAGCCAACAGCCAAATATTATAATTTTATGCTTTCGATTATTCAGAAGATGCCGTTTGATGGTCAAGGTCATTTTCATTCTCAAACTTTGTCGGGATCTATCTCAGGAAGCCAACAGCCAAATATAAAGATTCTATACCTTTTAGTTCTTCAGAAGAAGTCGTTTAAAGAGTTTTTACATATTTGACCGCTGTGACCTTGAAAGTAAGTCAAGATCAATTTCATTATCAAACTTTATCAGGCTCCATCCAAGGAAGCCAACAGCGAAATATGAAGATTCTATACCTTTTAATTCTTCAGAAGAAGTCGTTTGAAGCGTTCGACATATTTGACCGCTGTGACCTTGAAAGTATGTCAAGGTCATTTTCATTCTCAAACTTTATTGGGCTCCATCCAAGGAAGCCAACAGCGAAATATGAAGATTCTATACCTTTTAATTCTTCAGAAGAAGTCGTTTGAAGCGTTTGACATATTTGACCGCTGTGACCTTGAAAGTATGTCAAGGTCATTTTCATTCTCAAACTTTATTGGGCTCCATCCAAGGAAGCCAACAGCGAAATATGAAGATTCTATACCTTTTAATTCTTCAGAAGAAGTCGTTTGAAGCGTTTGACATATTTGACCGCTGTGACCTTGAAAGTATGTCAAGGTCATTTTCATTCTCAAACTTTATTGGGCTCCATCCAAGGAAGCCACCAGCCAAATATGAAGATTCTATACCATTTAGTTCTTCAGAAGAAGTTGTTTGAAGTTTTTGACATATTTGACCCATGTGACCTTGAAAGTAGGTCAAGGTCATTTTCATTCTCAAACTTTGTCAGGCTCCTACCAACGAAGCTATCACCAAAATATCATGACTCTAGGCCTGTCCATTCTTCAGAAGTCATTAAAAGGAAAAGTTGACGGACGACTACGAACGACGCGCCATGGCATAAGCTCACTAGCCCTTCGGGCAGGTGAGCTAAAAATTGATTAAAAGAATTGTTTTCCCCCCCCCAACAAATGCAGATTATACAAAGAAAACAAACACATATGGTGACCATATATGTGCAGTCGCCAGAGAATGATATCAGGAGATTAATTCTCGCCTTGGAAAATGGTGTTTCATTGAATAAATCAGAGAAATGTTGTATGAAATGTATTGTTTTACTGTTAGAATTTGACATTTATTGGTATTGCTATAACTTACAGCCTCTATGTGTGCAGACAGAACATTGGCAATCTTTTTAAGATCTCGTGGATTAGTACTGAACCCATATAGAGGCGTCAGTTTGAAGGATCTCCAGGTTTTCAATGTCAAGCCTGAAATGAAAGATTTGATGATAATAAATACATGAAAAAGATATTGGATTTATCGGTGAACATTCAAAGTGAAATCTCTCGATACAGCAAACATGAACAGCCTTACATGATTGATTTGTTGAATCTGGGCCCTTTACTACAATATTGGTTTATGAATCTAGGCCCAATATTGGTATATGAATCTTGGCCCAATATTGGTATATGAATCTGGGCCCTTTACTACAATATTGGTATATGAATCTAGGCCCAATATTGGTTTATGAATCTAGGCCCAATATCGGTATATGAATCTAGGCCCAATATTGGTATATGAATCTTGGCCCAATATTGGTATATGAATCTGGGCCCTTTCCTACAATATTGGTATATGAATCTAGGCCCAATATTGGTTTATGAATCTAGGCCCAATATTGGTATATGAATCTTGGCCCAATATTGGTATATGAATCTGGGCCCTTTCCTACAATATTGGTATATGAATCTAGGCCCAATATTTTTATATGAATCTGGGCCCAATATTGGTATATGAATCTGGGCCCAATATTGGTATATGAAACTGGGCCCAATATTGGTATATGAATCTAGGCCCAATATTGGTTTATGAATCTAGGCCCAATATTGGTATATGAATCTGGGCCCAATATTGGTATATGAAACTGGGCCCAATATTGGTATATGAATCTAGGCCCAATAATGGTATATGAATCTGGGCCCTTTACTACAATATTGGTATATGAATCTAGGCCCAATATTTGTATATGAATCTGGGCCCAATATTGGTATATGAATCTGGGCCCAATATTGGTATATGAAACTGGGCCCAATATTGGTATATGAATCTGGGCCCAATATTGGTATATGAATCTTGGCCCAATATTGGTATATGAATCTGGGCCCTTTACTACAATATTGGTATATGAATCTAGGCCCAATATTGGTATATGAATCTAGGGCCAATATTGGTATATGAATCTGGGCCCAATATTGGTATATGAATCTAGGCCCAATATTTGTATATGAATCTGGGCCCAATATTGGTATATGAATCTGGGCCCAATATTGGTATATGAATCTAGGCCCAATATTGGTATATGAATCTGGGCCCTTTACTACAGTATATGAATCCTCAGTACTGTGAGCTATACTCAAAATACTACCATGGGACTTTTGGGAACATATTCAAAGGAGTAGTGTTTTCTACTGGCTTACAGAATTTTCATTCTGAATGAGAATTTTTGAACAATATGGAAAATCAGCTGCAGTCAGTAGAGGTATGTATACCAAATAATTAGAACAGCTCTCTTAAAAAAAACTAGTCCTAATTTGCAGTGGTGTACTGTTATCTGAAAAGCATCATTTCAAGCCAAAGTGTTCACTCCTCCAACACCAACCTATCAGTCATGATCAACCTTTTAAACAATGAATACATACTACTGTCACTGACACTAGAACTTTTAACTCTTTCTATAATTTAAGGAGAACACACACAATGTTTTGTCATATCTTTGATTGCATGCACATTTCAACCAATAATCAGTTATCAATTGATCATAAAGATTTGATAATCGGCAAACTGAAGTCAAGTAACGTTGGTCAGGAACAATAATATAAGTTATACTACCGACCAGTAGGCCTTGTAGACAAGAAACAGAGGTTTCTGACTAAAGTCCTGTAATGTGGGCAGGGTACAGTTAATATGAGTTATACTACCAACCAGTAGGCCTTGTAGACAAGAAACAGAGGTTTCTGACTAAAGTCCAGTAATGTGGGCAGGGTACAGTTAATATAAGTTATATAACCAATCTGTAGGCCTTATAGACAAGAAACAGAGGTTTATGACTAAAGTCCAGTAACGTTGGCCGGGTACAGTTAATATAAGTTATATAACCAACCTGTATGCCTTATAGACAAGAAACAGAGGTTTCTGACTAAAGTCCAGTAACGTTGGCCGGGTACAGTTAATATAAGTTATATAACCAACCTGTAGGCGTTATAGACAAGAAACAGAGGTTTCTGACTAAAGTCCAGTAACGTTGGCCGGGTACAGTTAATATTAGTTATACTACCAACCTGTAGGCCTTATAGACAAGAAACAGAGGTTTCTGACTAAAGTCCAGTAATGTGGGCAGGGTACAGTTAATATGAGTTATACTACCAACCAGTAGGCGTTATAGACAAGAAACAGAGGTTTATGACTAAAGTCCAGTAATGTGGGCAGGGTACAGTTAATATGAGTTATACTACCAACCTGTAGGCCTTATAGACAAGAAACAGAGGTTTATGACTAAAGTCCAGTAATGTGGGCAGGGTACAGTTAATATGAGTTATACTACCAACCAGTAGGCCTTATAGACAAGAAACAGAGGTTTATGACTAAAGTCCAGTAATGTGGGCAGGGTACAGTTAATATGAGTTATACTACAAACCTGTAGGCCTTATAGACAAGAAACAGAGGTTTATGACTAAAGTCCAGTAACGTTGGCCGGGTACAGTTAATATTAGTTATACTACCAACCTGTAGGCCTTATAGATAAGAAACAGAGGTTTCTGACTTAAGTCCAGTAACGTTGGCCGGGTACAGTTAATATGAGTTATACTACAAACCTGTAGGCCTTATAGACAAAAAACAGAGGTTTATGACTAGAGTCCAGTAATGTGGGCAGGGTACAGTTAATATGAGTTATATTATCAACCTGTATGCCTTATAGACAAGAAACAGAGGTTTCTGACTAAAGTCCAGTAATGTGGGCAGGGTACAGTTGATATGAGTTATATTACCAACCTGTATGCCTTATAGACTAGAAACAGAGGTTTCTGACTAGAGTCCAGTAATGTGGGCAGGGTACAGTTTAGATAAGCTATGTACTGTACCTTTAAAATCTTTCTGTTGGTCCTTTTCAACTCTTCTTCCTGAAATATACCATAGATTAATGTTATACGTATCATGGTTTCTTTTTGGCATTATGTTCAACAAAATATTAAAGCAGACTTGGTAAGTGTGAAGCCCAAAGACTTCTATGGCCATCAGTCAACTACTATGTTATATCTGGCTGTTGAGCAAAGGATTGAAATCCCAGAGGCTCACATGCCATCAGTCATCAGCCAAGCTAGTCCACATATATTATTCCTTCACTATCTATAGGGACCAGGTATTTAGGCCTGGGTATAATAAATTACACAACTAAGGGATTTAAAATATATATATATATATAAAAATAAATCATTGATTCAAAATTAATTTATAATTTGTCAAAATAAATATCTTTGGTTGGAATGTTATTATAACTGATTTATTCTCAGACATATAGTCATTTATTTCTATGATTATGTTAATTATTGAAAATTCTGAAGTATTTGCTAAAATTATCCATTTTCATGAATCAGACTATTTTATTTGTAATTATCAAATAAAACTGATAAAGAAAAAGAAAAGGGCAAAAAAATGAGCAATAATAATGCAATGTCAAGATTAATAAATAATGCTTTTTATTTAAAATTAACTTCATCATTCCTCTTGTTTTGAGTTTTCTTTCTCAAAGTGGCGTCGCGTACAATATACATGTAGATGGGTTGTTATGCAGAAATGGTTCGAACGCCCCTCGCTGTGATGGAAGGGTTAAAAATAGATGCCGTATAGCGCATCAAAAAATTTCTTGGGAGAATACTGAGGACTGCTGTGGAATTTTCTTTTAGTATTTCTACTTCATGGTTTTTAGTATTACTTTTTGAAGATATGGATTATCACTTCTTGTTTATATTTTAAAAAGAACAGAACAAATATAATTACTGGCTAAATATCTCTCCTTGTGGTATCATTCATACATGTATTTAAAGTTTGGTTAACTTTTCTTAGCCCTGATCATACGATCCTGATCCTTTAGATATAAAACACCTAATCACTTTTATACAAACAAACCAGATTTTTTCTTAGCCCTGATCATATGATCCTGATCCTTTAGATATAAAACACCTAATCACTTTTATACAAACAAACCAGATTTTTTCTTAGCCCTGATCATATGATCCTGATCCTTTAGATATAAAACACCTTATCACTTTTATACAAACAAACCAGATCTTTTCTTAGCCCTGATCATACGATCCTGATCCTTTAGATATAAAACCCCTATCACTTTTATACAAACAAACCTGATCTTTTCTTAGCCCTGATCATATGATTCTGATCCTTTAGATATAAAACACCTAATCACTTTTATACAAACAAACCAGATTTTTTCTTAGCCCTGATCATATGATCCTGATCCTTTAGATATAAAACCCCTATCACTTTTATACAAACAAACCTGATCTTTTGTTAGCCCTGATCATACGATCCTGATCCTTTAGATATAAAACACCTAATCACTTTTATACAAACAAACCAGATTTTTTCTTAGCCCTGATCATATGATCCTGATCCTTTAGATATAAAACCCCTATCACTTTTATACAAACAAACCTGATCTTTTCTTAGCCCCGATCATACGATCCTGATCCTTTAGATATAAAACCCCTATCACTTTTATACAAACAAACCTGATCTTTTGTTAGCCCTGATCATACGATCCTGATCCTTTAGATATAAAACACCTATCACTTTTATACAAACAACCCTGATCTTTTCTTAGCCCTGATCATATGATCCTGATCCTTTAGATATAAAACACCTTATCACTTTTATACAAACAAACCAGATCTTTTCTTAGCCCTGATCATACGATCCTGATCCTTTACATATAAACCACCTATCACTTTTATACAAACAAACCTGATCTTTTGTTAGCCCTGATCATACGATCCTGATCCTTTAGATATAAAACCCCTATCACTTTTATACAAACAAACCTGATCTTTTGTTAGCCCTGATCATACGATCCTGATCCTTTAGATATAAAACCCCTATCACTTTTATACAAACAAACCTGATCTTTTCTTAGCCCTGATCATACGATCCTGATCCTTTAGATATAAAACACCTATCACTGTTATACAAACAAACCTGATCTTTTGGATGTCGGTGTTCTTTGTAACCTTGATCTGGGTTCTGTAAATGGTAAAAGAAAAAGTGAATATTAAATGTATATACATTGTATATTTGTTTCAGTTTTCAAATTGTAAACTGATCCGCTTCTATTTCCAACTTTATTGGCAATTTTTGATTGAGATGAAATTAATGATAACTTTAGAGTACTTGTACAGTTTGCCAACCTTTCCATTTTTTTCTGCTGTAAAAATCTAAAAATGTACCTACAAATACCCTAATTTGACAAATAGTGGAAAGTTCATAAGTTTAAGCTGTGTGAGTAAAAAAACCACCTACTAGAATATTGCTGCTTTCAAAAAATGTTTCTCGAGATAAGGGAGCCTAGGCAAGTATGATATTGTGAGACAGGATCAACAGTTTTTGACATGATTAGTTTTGGGATTACTAGGTCTCCACTAAAACTCCACTATTACCTGTGACAGTGATTCTCCTGCTCTGAGGTGTCCTGCCATACGGTGTGTAGCGCCGGGTACTTCTCCTGATACTGTGGGACACCAGGGACTTGGTAACGTTGTTAGTGGGGGTCTGGTCAGAAGCTCCACCCGTCATGTTTATTTTTTATTTTTCTATAAAAAGAAAAGATCTAGATTCTAACATCAGACTATATATAACAAGTCAATAAATGCAACAGGTAGTGATTCCAACATGCACATCCTTCAAACACTAGACTGAAGTTCTACCTACTTGTTTGGTGACTAATACTTTTCTGTAAGATACACTGCAATCTGGATCTACGCAGGGATTATGTATATGTACATTGCAAAGTTTTTAGGGTGAACGTTAGGGACAAAGAAAAAGCTTCATAATCAAAAAAATATTACAAACTATTTTGTACATTTGTATACAACAAGAGGCCCAATGGGCCTGCATCGCTCACCTGGTATTAATCTCACATTTGTAATCTTAAAAGTGGACTAAAATACAGCTATAGGCAGAATATCAGTGTTTGATTCATAAGAACCTATTAAAAGATTTAAACATATGACGCCTGTGACCTTGAATGTCGAACAAGGAAATTAGGTTGAAAGTGGGTCAATGTCATTCGTTCAGTACCCTTGGTCTTTTGGTTATTGAGAAAAAGTTATTTGGAGATTTTAAGACATTTTACCCCTGTTACCTTGAAAGTGGGTCAAGGTCATTCATTTGAACAAACTAGGTAGCCCTTCATCCCAGCATGCTACAGGCCCAATATCAGTATCCTGGGCTTTTTGGTTATTGAGAAAAAGTCATTTGAAGATTTTAAGACATTTGACCCCTATGACCTTGAAAGTTTGTCAAGGTCATTCATTGGAACAAACTTGGTAGCCCTTCATCCCAGGATGCTATTGGCCAAATATCATCACCCTAGGCCTTTCGTTTATTGAAAAGATTTTTTTTGAAGATTTTAAGACATTTGACCCCTGTGACCTTGAAAATTGGTAAAGGTCATTCATTTGAACAAACTTGGTAGCCCTTCATCCCAGCATGCTTCTGGCCAAATATCATCACCCTAGGCCTTTTGGTTATTGAGAAGAAGTTGTTTAAAGTAAAATATTGACGCCGAACGGACAACGGAAGCCGCACCACGGGATAAGCTCACTTGGCCCTTCGGCACGCGCAGCATTTCAAGTTGAGCACAGTTGTGTGGCGCGAATTGTCAACGTTTGATAAAACATATAACGGACCCTGAGTAGAACCACGTCCACGTCCGTAGGGTCTGGTAACATGCTCGTTTCAAGAGTGTGGCTGAGAGTTCTACAATATAATCCGGTCTAACTGTGTTCACCTACGCGAAGCCCTACCCTACTTACACATACAGTCGTATAGCTTTGTAAAATTAAATTCACGATACCTCAATCATTTTTTAACAAATCTACCTAAGTTTGGTATAAAGGTGTATCACAGTTATATGAATAACAAATCTTCTGATGTCGCTTACTTAATCGATTAATTTTAGAGATATAGTTTGAAGTCGCTTCACAATCTGTCGAGTTCTATTCACACACGTGTGCCAAGCTGTCGTTCTTAATAGTCAAAAACATCATTACTCAGTCATTTATGCGTCAGTCTCCGGGACCAATTTAGCAGATTATAATACGCTACAAGTGAGTCACTGAGATGCTTGTATAGTACATGTACGTTTGCATAGTACACCTGTTACAAACGCCTATATGAGCGAGAAGTGAATCATGGCGCTTTTAAAAACAGTCAGTATTTGTCACTTGGTCTCAGCCCTTTCGCCCATTTTAAATAGATATGTGGCATTTTATTTCCATTTCACTGTGGTTGTGTTCACAACATATGAATTTGAGTCGTTCTTAACCCTATATTAAATGATTCAACGTCTTTCAACATTTCCAGGTAACGTTGCTTTTACAGAACTTCATGGTTCAAAATTTAAGTTTTCACCCCTCCACTTTGGAGAGGGAGGGGTGAAAAAAAAACACATGTTCAAAAGTTATCTGGAGCACTGCATAACTCGATCATGTTTTCAAATATCGAGCTGAAATTTGGAATATATATCAATAAAAGTCTAACTAATAACATATCCTCTGATGTCACTTACTTTAGCGAGTAATTTTAACGATATTGTCTGGTGATGCTTTCTTCACTTTACATGCTAATACACATGACATGTGCCACGCCGCGATGGTAAAAATTCAATTCATCATAACTCGGTCAATTTTTCAAATATCAAATTGAAATTTGGTACAGAGGTGTATTATTTTGGTCTACATTAATTACATCATCGACTCAAGTTTCCTGGGACATCAAACTCTTTGCTGACGACTGCTTATTATATACAGAAATTAATTCATTAGAAGACTGTCAGAAACTGGAAAACGACCTCAAATTCTTGGAAATCTGGGAGGGTAAATGGCAAAAGAATTTTATCGCCAAAAATGTTCTATCATCAACATATCTAAAAAGAAAAAACCCAATTAAGTTTAGCTACTCCCTGTACAATCAAATTTTGGAAAATTTAGAATCTAGCAAATACCTAGGGGTCACTTTCACCTCAGACCTAAATTGGGATAAACACATACAATCCATCACCAACAAGGCAAATAGGACACTGGGATTTCTGCGTCGCAACATGTCATCATGCACCAGAAAAGTCAAAACCCAGACATTGATCACCACACTAGTAAGACCATGAATCACTAGAATATGCAGCCTCTTGCTGGGACCCTTTTATTTCAGACCAGGTCCTAGCAATTGAAAATTTACAGCGTAGGGCTGCCAGATACGTATTTAATGATCATAGATCTAGAGAGCCTGGATGTGTCACCAACATGATAAATATACTTAACTGGGAGTGAAGAACAAAAGCCAGGCTCATGATGTTATATAAAATAATAAACGGACATGTGGCTATTGATCCATCCCTATTCATAACATCAAGCGACAGGAGGGGCCCACAGAATTATTCAATTAATCAAATATCAACCCACATAAATTTGTATAGATATTCATTCTTCCCAACTGGAATTCGCTACCATCATCCCTAGCACAGGAGCCAAACCTGAACTCTTTCAAGTCTGCCCTGGCTAGTTTCAACCTTCGATACAGTGTTTTCTGTTTTTATCTTATAGTACAAATTAACAAATATAGGCCTAATTGTTTTTAACATTTTAATGCCATCTCTCAGGATCAAGTGCACTCAAACCTTTGAGTCTGAGCCTTGTAAAGGAAGAAGAAGACGCTTGTTGTCGGTTGAAGACGCTTTTAAGGGAGACCCGTTTTAAGTGTTACCGGAAAAGCATATATGTGGAAGAATGTTGTTTAAAAATTTATCTTTAGTTTTCACTGGCATCTGTGAAACAAGGTGCCAAATAAATTGGGTCATCCGCTTTTTGTCAACAAGAATAATTTTGATGGGCCGAGATCACTTGAGATAGGAAGTGCTGGCTTCACCATCGTCTTATTAATTACGACATACAAAATGTATCAAACCATATATTGTGAAGTACGTCAACAGCTTGGAATATACTTGTCGAAGTGTCCATTTTCTTCTTAATGTTTTGTTTACAGTGCTGGCAATTCACGTTCAAAACATCAAACTCAAATTTAGCGCTTGACTGCGGAACTCAGATTTCTTACCCGTTTGATTGGTCAATACTCGAAGAATATATTTTTTGCAATTGTATAACGATTTTAAACCTTTTTAATCTTTATAAAATAAAACTTCGTTTAGCTATTCTCATATGATTCTGATTTTATCATCAAGTTATATAGTGTAATAACAAAATTTATTTATATTTTTCTGCGGAGTTGCAAAATGGAGTCCTCCATGGAAGTTTGCGCTCCGCGAGATTGTGCTATCAAAATAGGCAAATGGAAAGTGCGAAAGGGTTACAAAGTTTCTCATGGTGCTGTTTTGTGTATTTATGATACAGATACTTCAAAGGGACTGAAAATAAAGGCTACCGAAGTTGGGACGGTTGTTGACATATTGGCTAAGGAAGGCGAATTCTTGGAACCAGGGTATAAATTCATATCGTCGGATATGTTAAAAACATGTGTTGATTGATTACTTTCACATGTTAGTAGCGTAATTTAAGAACAACATTATATGATTTTCTCTGACCCTATTCTCTCTTTCAGATATGATTTTCTAATTTTATAAGATGGCGGAGTCCATTACACTCGAGCTGAACACGACTCGTTTAAGGAAGAAGATTCTGGAGCATATTTCATAGCGGAGTCATAGACCATGTCGACCAGTACTCCACTCCTAAGATACCAGATAGCCGTGAACATTGACTACATAGCCTGAAGCATAGACGAAAGATGTCTGGAATCCCTATTTATTATTAAGCGTGTCGCAGGAGAAAGAGGAATGCAACCGCCAGAACGTGATTCGAACCCAGGACCCTTTGAACTCTAGAAAGACGAAAGACGTCTGGTATCACTATTTATTATTTTGTGTGTCACAGGAGAAAGAGAAATACAACAGACAGAACGTGATTCAAACCCAGGACCCTTTGAACTCTAGATAGACGCTACTTGGTTGCAGACGATTGACCCAGTCCAGTTCCGCTAGCATACATTCCTCCCTCTTTTTTTCGAAGTCCACCCCTGAGTACACAACTATTTAGTAATTACATCTCTGATATTCTAAGCTTTTACCCAGTGTTTGAAACAAGGGCTGGAAAACTCACCAATTTTGAAACAGGAGAAAGAGAAAGGCAAGACCAAAATATGAACTTGGGACCAGCCAAACACTGGATGGACACTACCAATTGAACTACCTGGATCAACCTAGTTCAGTTCTGCTTCAATTGTACTGTCTGGTGTTGCCAAAACATTTGACAAGGTTCAGGTTCCTAAATTATGAAAGAACAACAGGTTTCTTCCTGAAGGGGACATTATCAACAGCACCGGTACTATCAGGCGTACCAGAGCGGAGGGACAGTCTTAAATCCTGTGATCTATCCCTCCACCTTCATAAGCAACCTTCCAGACATGTTCCAATATCAAGCTTTATATAGCTGCTCTCTTTAATGAATACTGACAGACTCCTGTAACACAACATTCAGTTTGAGACGGTAGCTGTCATCACTGAAACACTGGGTCAAGATATGGCAGATGATATAAATCCCGGACAAATGTCAGGAGGGTTTGTTAGGGTGATGCATCACTCTTCAACTTTTTGTGGTGTTTGAGTGGAAACCCATCCACACACTGACTATGCTCAAGTATGCTTATAACTATTGTGAACATCCCAGGGTTATACTGCATTGCTGGCACACCTCTTGCTGTCAATGCAAGTTAGTCAACATAATACAAAATGTCAAGCTAGGTCACATCACAATGTCAGCTAACTGGAATATTAGCCTGGCCAGCTGCATACATCAGAGTAAAATTGACACTCACGAGTTAATTCTAGAAATAGAAGAAGAAAATTTAGGAATTTTTATACCCTCGTCAAATCTATCTAAAGAATCATGATCATGAAGTGCAGTATCTTGGGATGATCTGTTTGTACAATAACTTAGTTCCACTCTGATGTTAAGACTTCCACAGTCATCAAACTTTATATATAAATGCATCCTCAGGATTTACTACAGTGTAACATGTAGGCCACTGTGGCATATACTTTCTGCTTCACTGACTTTGGTTAGACCATGTTTTCAGCTCAATTTCTATCATAGAAGGAGTAAAGGCATACATGTATGTATGTTTTACAAATATTTTATAGTAATATAAGGTAGAGAAACTGTGATGCCATTTGTCATTCAGTCCCAAGTGGTTTAATTAATCTGATTGATTGTAAATTATGCTTGTACTGATGTCCTGTCGATGGCAACATGAACTTATTAGATTAAAGATAATTGTGTAAGAAAAAACGTATATGTAGTAGAAATTAGTTTAAATGAATGAGATATTTTCTATACAGTGGTTATATCCATCTGCAGTCATAATAGATCATTTTTTTTATAGCTGTAAACTGTAGGCACTCTATTTGCTTTTTGTTATGCTTCCAAGTAGCATCTAGATCGGTTGTAAGCTGTGGTTTCAGTGTGTGTTAGCTGTACATAGTGTTTATCCATTCCAGATCAAAGATAACCCAAAATTTACTTAAGCATCGTGAGTGCACTCAAAAACCTACAACAACAACTATATTTATTCTCTTTAGTGATCAAATGATCCGCATCAGTAACTGGAAGTTGTTTGACAAATTTTGATACTGGAAAAATAAACAAAAATCTGTTTTATCTGTCCGATATCACAGAAAATAAGCTTGAACCTAACTTAAATGGTTTGAACATATCTTACTTTAGGGTACGTCATGTAATTGTCGGACATTTTGGTTTTAATTAACATGAAATAAAAAGATTCTATCTCATTTTCAGATGCCCGTTATTGAAGTTACAGTCGTGTACCCACCCCACAGTGATGAAGGACATGTGTGCAGACTGTGGGGCAGATTTGAGGGAGTACGTATATTATTGATATTTTGTGCCATGGACAAGGATTTTGTTATATTCTAAAACAGGACAGAACGCAAGAAACGATAAATAATGAAATGAAGATCAGAGACAATTTCATAGAAAAATAAAGAAAAAGTCTAAAGAAAAAGCACAACATTTTGAACTTCTTACTATGCTTACTGTGTAGTCATTTTTATACGCCCGTCAAATTTGACTGAAGTGTTATGGTATGGGGTTATCCGTCTGTCCGGAGTAAACTTTTGTTTGTCCGGCAATCTCCTCCTACATTTTTTGAACGATCTCTTTGAAACTTGGTATACATAATAATCATGATATGAAGTTGTGTCTCCCTTAAAAAAATTTTGATTTAACATTTTTTCCAAAAGTTATTGCCCTTTGTTCATTTCAGTATTTGATTATTTGTCCAGAGATCTCCTCCTACATTTTTTGACGGATTTCTTTGAAACTTGGTATACATTATAATCATGATATGTTGTTGTGTTTCCTTGAAAAGAATTTTGATTTGACAATTTTTCCAAAATTTATTGCTTTTTGTTCATTTCAGTATTTGATTATTTGTCCGGAGATTTTCTCCTACATGTTTTGACGGATTTCTTTGAAACTTAATATACATTATAATCATGATATGTTGTTGTGTTTCCTTGAAAAGAATTTTGATTCAACAATTTTTACAAAAGTTATTGCCCTTTGTTTATTTCAGTATTTGATTTTTGTCCGGCAATCTCCTCCAACATTTTCAATGGATCTCTTTGAAACTTGGTATACATTATAATAATGATATGAAGTTGTGTCTCCCTTAACAGAATTTTGATTTGACAATTTTTGCAAAAGTTCTTGCATTTTGTTCATTTCAGTATTTGATTTTTTGTCTGGAGATTTTCTCCTACATCTTTATAGCATGTCAGCTAACCACTCTTAGAATGATGCAGATCTTATTTCAATATAAGAAAGTATATAACACTATATGGCATTCGACGGTTGTATATTGTTCAGCCCCGCTGTACTCTTGTTATAGTTGGTTGTATGTAGCAAAGACTTTGTTAACACCCATATTTACTGTAACTTGTGATTAACAGGTATCAGGTATGTACTTTATTTCTGGTTTCAAAATACAGTATTAAATAAAAACATCTAGGGTGTTGAACTTGTCATGATCATGAGATAATCTACCTATCCAGGTACGAACATTGTATTGAGTGATTCTCATTGCCTAGATGGTCTTCTTCATTTACAGAATGATATAAACATACATGTTTTAATTCCATTTAAAGAGAGGCTGGTTTGTCAGGAGACCGGCGAGCTCCAGTATCAGCATCTGTAGCTATGATCCACAGCATCCCGGAGCTGATTGTTAGTGAGGAAGTAAGTTATGTCAGTGCTGTCTGTAGCATCCCGGAGCTGGTATTGAGGAAGTAAATAATGTCAGTGCTGTCTGTAGCATCAAGCTGTTTAGACCTGTTTATTTTCTGTATGACCATATAAACTGACAGGATAACAAGACATGCACACCCTTACACAAACAGACACACCCTTACACATACACACCCTTACACAAACAGACACACCCTACACCCTTACACACCCTTACACAAACAGACACCCCCTTACACAAACAGACACTCCCTTACACAAACAGACATCCCCTTACACAAAGAGACACAAACAGACACCCCCTTACACAAATAGACACCCTTACACAAACAGACACACCCTTACACAAACAGACACACTCTTACACAAACAGACACACCCTTACACAAACAGACATCCCCTTACACAAAGAGACACAAACAGACACACCCTTACACAAATAGACACCCTTACACAAACAGACACACCCTTACACAAATAGACACACCATTACACAAAGAGACACATCCTTACACAAACAGACACACCCTTATACAAACAGACTCACCCTTACACAAACAGACACACCCTTACACAAACAGACACACCCTTACACACCCTTACACACCCTTACACAAACAGACACAAACAGACACACCCTTACACAAACAGACACACCCTTACACAAACAAACACACACTTATACAAACAGACACACCCTTACACAAACAGACACACCCTTACACAAATAGACACA